AAGAATGTTTGTGATGTAGTGACTAAGCAAGAGGCACTACATCACAAACATTCTTTCAAATAGCAAAAAGAAAAGAAGAGAAAGCGAGAATATGATCGCTAACAAAAACGGTCGTTAATTTTGCATCAACCCAATATCTCTCGTTTTGAAATAGTGATAACTGTAGAGGTTTATTTAATAAATAGATTTTCAGAAAGAAAATCAAACTAAAAACCAAATCATATATTTAACGATAAAAGGAGACTAGCTTTTCTGAGAACTATTTATTGGATGTTGTTCAGATGTTTATATGTCCATATATTGTCAAATTTGTAATATTCAAGATTATGAATACTAATTACTGAATAGAAAAAAATTACACCGAATTACAACAGATGACTTTTACAAAGATAGAGATCGATGATAGAAAACAAAAATTGTTTGTTCATTGATATTCACCTTTGTTCAAAGCTAAAATAATAAAAACTTAAGATTATAAGTTGAAAATATGTCTATATTTTAATTTACTGTCTGTTGCATATGTTACTGTGGTCTAGCTAGTAGGGATAGAAGAGAAAAGCATTGTTTTAGCTGCTGTTGATTTTGAAGAGAAATCACCAGATGGACTTGTCGCTATTGGCGAAGTAAAAGGTGCAAGAGATGTCAAATCGGGAAAATTTGGTTGCTGTTGAGAAACAAAAGGTGTATGCTGAGTTCGTTGATCAAACATATTGGTATTGAAAGTATGTGTTGGTGCAGTCGTAGTAAACATTGAAAATAAATCACCAGTACCTACGGTAGATCCTGATTGTTGAGTAGTTTTAGTCACTGCTGATGGCGACGCATGTACATTGAATACATTAGCAAGAGGCTGCAAATAAAGTTGATCATCATTAACAAGTTTTTTTTTTTATGAATTACAGAAAATAATTTATAAAACTTACATTTTCTACACGACAAGGTGGTTGTATAATAGGTATCACAGACTCGCTAATATTCCACGGATCGATACTAGGTGTTGAAAGTTGTTGAGCTGTTTGTAATGGCCGAGGAACCGTTGTTGAAGGAGTATTTCCCCAAACATCATCAAACAAAGGTGTCTACTAATTAATTTGTATTAAAAGAACTGACAATAAAATATCATGCATACTTTGGGTACTAGTATTGTTTGTGACACTGCTGTTGAAGGACTGCCTCCCCAAACATCATCAAACAATGGCGTCTACTAGCTAATATTTATTAAAAAAATGGCGACTATAAAATATTATGCTTACTTTAAGCGTTGATGTTGTTCGTAAAACTGTTGTTGAAGAATTATCTCCCCAAGGATCATCAAACAAAGGTGTCTGCCAATTAACTTGCATTAAAAAGATCGACAATAAAGCATCATACATACTTTGGGTACTGATATTGTTTGTGACACTGTTGTTGAAGGACTATCTCCCCAAATATTATTGAATAAAGGCGTCTACAAGCTAATTTGTATTTGAAAGATTAACAATATAATATCGTACGTACTTGAGGCGCTTGTGTTAGTTGAGGAATAGATTCTGCAGATATTACTGGTGGTTGCAGTATAGACTGAGGGGTAGATAACGATGATGATTGCTGAAAAAAAACTTGTATAAATATAATAGACATTATTTTTTGTTACTTGTATTATGACAGTTGATGTTTCTGGAAAAGCGGATGTAGATGTTGTTTGATTTGCTTGTATTTTAGTTTTTTCTAAATTCTTAAATTGTTCCAAAACTGTATCAAAAAGGTCTTTATATGCAAGAACAGTTACTAATGCTGGTCGTTCAGTTTTAATAGCCCAAAATTGATGACGACCATCACTTGTATTATAAATATACCCAAATGCACGTGGATCTGTCGGATCCGTAGTAACATATGATATACGTGTAACTTCATGACTAGCAATTTCAACCTAATAAATAATAAAATTAATTTAGACAAATAAAATAAAATTCTTTATTGATACTCTAGTAGATTCATCAACAATTTTAACAGTATCCATAGTTAAAATTAATTGAATTCTTTGTTTATGTTCACCACGAACACGTACAATAGCTTTAAGTTTAAATATTGAGTCAAGACAGAGATTTTCATCACAATCAAATTGTAAATCTTCCATTCCTTTATTTCAAAACGAAAACTAATTATATCTTCAAATTTTTCTTTTTTTTTGTAATTTTCATACCAATAATTTTGCATTTAAATGGAACTCCATTACCTTCAAATTTATTTGAATTTATTCCTTAAAGAAATAAGATAAACTAAATTCTCAAGATTTCAATCAAATATATTTCAGCAAACCATTTACTGCTCCTTTTATTTCTGATATTTTTTGATAATTTGTAATAAATGCTAAATAAATTCAAATAAATTCAATGTAGAAAAAAATACCTAAAAAGTACTTATACGCATTTATGTAGACCATATACAGTAAATAATGATAAGAACTTTTTCGTTGGAAGATACATGCAAATGTAAAATTGGCAAAGAAGAAGAAGATAAAAAGATAACTATTACGAATATTTTATTAACACATTTTTTCATTTGTTTTTTTTTTTTCGCTCTACAATTTACTAATGAATATGACAACAACAATAGTTTCTCATAAGATTATGATTATTATTGATATTATGTAGATGTCCATGAAATGTATATCCAACTGTTATTGTAGAATTTTTGTCTGCTAATTCTAATTGATTGTCATGTTCAAAAAAATTCTTGTGCCGAAAACAATGATAAAAACTTTGTTTTGATTTTGTAAAAACACGTTTTAATTCGCGACGAAATTTTGAATCAAATACAATATAGATATAGAAATTCATTGCAAATGATATATGATATATATAAAGTGCATAATGTTCTAATTGTGTGATTAATTGTGAATTTTTATTATCTTCTTGACGATTATTTAGTAAACGCCATGTATGTATAGATGCATAAGGCGCACATATAACTAAATATGATGTTGAAACAGTTAATAATAATTTCGTTATTTTACGTGATGCATTACGGCGTGTTATTTCACGTCTTCTATTCAAATGTGAATGACTTCGAAATAGAAATTGATGTTGATCATGTTTCATACGACGTAATGATGTAAGAATAATAGTATTCATAGTCATTATAATGATATATGGTATAAGAAAAACCATAATAGAATCAATTATGTCCATATATTTATTAACCCAACGAAATTCTGGACGAGAAAAACATTTTCCATCGACAATACCAATTAAAAATGGTAAATATGAATATATTAGACAAGCAAATATTATTATTGATAATGATAAACATCGAGAACGATTCCAAGAAAGAACATAAGATACTCGAAATGGATGAATAACTGCAAATAAACGTTGAGCAGTAAATGCTATTGTATAATAAGCATTGATAAAATTGCAGACGTACGTTACATATAATGTCAGTTGACAAATAACTGGGCGATGTAGAACATTAATATAATTTGATAGCCATAAACAAAATAATATGATTAGATACATCGTGTCTGATATAGCCATATAAAATAAAAATGGATAAACAGACATATTTGAACCAATTGATCCTATTTTTGTACGAAATGCTCTTTGACAAAAAATAATAATAACGAATGCATTTCCAATTGAACCAATTATAGTAAGTAATAATAAATAAATATGATTGAAAAAAAAATTAAAACCATCAAGAAAATAATGAGATAATGGAATAGTTTCATTATTCATTGAAGAATTTGTCATTGAAAGCATTATTTAACGAAACAAAAAAGTAAAATCTATAATAAATAAATAAAAAAAAGAATATCATCTAAGAAAATGTGAACTTGTGAGGACATTCATTTTCTTTAATTGCAACATACTTGATGTTTTCATTTGTTTTCTCATTGTGAAATGTGTATAGAATGATAGAAGAAAATATATTTCTCATTAAACTGCTTTATAAAATTAGCCTAGAAACTTTTACTAATTGGAGCTTACGTGATGAAATATCCTGCAGTATATCTAGGTCGTTTTTTAATGAACAGTTTTTATTAAATAATGAGTAACTAAGCTAAATTATATACGTTTTTCTTATATTTTTTATCAACATCAAAAAATCTTTACAATTAATCTTTAAACTTACATATTCTAAAATAAGATTTTTCTCCGCAAAGAAAAATTCATTGAAAAAAAAAATTGTTTTTCGTATAGATTATGATGATAATTATTGATAATTATAATTTTGAAATCGCATGGAAATAGAACTTAAAAATAAAAACCAATTAAACAGAACTATAGATAAGATTAGTTTCTAAACTTTTCTAGTAAATAATACTGATTGAAATAGAAAAAAAAAATACTAAATGAATTTCATTGGATTTTACATTCATATAAAACTAGAAGAAAACAAGTCTTCTGATTACTAACAGCTGCTTTGTGTATGTGATGATTAACACTAACCATGTATTCTTCTACAAGTTCTTTTTTTCTTTCTTAATAGAAAAGATTTATTGTTTTATATATCTCTATCATTATATAGATATGGTAATCAATAAAATTCTTTTTATTGATTGATCTAAAAAAGTCAAAAAGTAGACAGTTCATGATGACTCTACTAAAGATTAAAAAATTTTCTTGAAATAATTTGAAAATGCGTAAATCTAACTGACTTATTATCTTTTACTAATCATACTGACGTATTTTCAACAAAAATATTCTATTATGATACTTTTTCTTTTTTTTTATCCTATCCTGCACAGCATGAGAGTTCTTATAGTTTAATTAGAGAGAATATCTTCTTTAAGATGCATCTATAGAAGAAACTAGATACTAATGATTCTGAAAGGCTACAGAAACTTATCTTAGAAAGCATACAATTTAACATCTACTAACATGTTTATTACGATTCTTATTATTATATTTCTTTTGATTGACTGATACAAACACTCTAATTGAAGATATTGTCAAGATCAACATGAACGACGATAGTTAGTGAACTACTTAAGGTTCGCATAGTGCAAAATTCGAATGCGCTCGCTCTCTCGTTCATTTATATGTGGTTTGCTACCACCTGACGAGTTGGTTATGTCTATGTAGTTTTTATTTTGATTCAGCTATATATGTGACTGAAAAAGAAACCGTAAAAAACTTGAATCACTAAAAATCGTGCATTGGTCAATATGAACTCGCTTTTTTTACAAAAACTGTCAATTTTTAATTAATTTATTCTCTCGAACTTTATGAAAACACTTTATTCTAATTCAACATCAAAACTTGAGTATAAAAATGTTAATTGATTAGGTTTGAATTGATAAGGTTAAATAAAGTACTGTCAAAATATAGATACCTCCAACATGTCTCGCAGAACGTATTTATAAATAGTCTTGTGAATCTATCTAATTATTTGTAACAAGAGCTAGAAGCAAGTGTTTACCTCATTAGAATCGTTGGGTCGTGAGCTAGAAATATATCCACGCAGTTTTTTTTAATTTGTTTTTATTGTTGAGAACACTGAATTTGTGCCTTATTCGATGGCAAAATCAGATTAAAAAACGCGGAGAAATGCGTCAAGATATTTAGCGAATTTTATTACCATAGTTCAATTGCAAACTAAAATAGATAACATATTCAAAATCATCATGAAATACTACATCGAATCATATATGTTTTAAGAATCTTTTTTTTCCTAGGAAAAACCAAATCGTTGGAGGAGTAAGGGTCAAAATTTTAGGAAAATAAACGTGACGGAGACCATAGGTGTATTTTTTTATTGCAGCAGTTTTTACTGTAACATATGTCATTTGGTGCAGTTTTTTATGATGAGTCGAACTACACAATTTATTTTAGTTTACAATTGAGCTATAGTAATAAAACCTGCAAAATTTATTGACACATTTCTCACTTTGATTTTTTAATTTGATTTTGCTACCGAATAAGGCAAAAATTCAATTTTCTCAAAAATAAAACTAAATTAAAAGAAATGTATAGGCTCATTTCTAGCTCATCATCTGACGATTCTAATGAGGTAAACGCTTGCTTCTAGCTCTCGTTACAAAAGAATCAGACAAGTTTAGAAAAATAATTACAACAGCATGCTATGAAACATGTCGCATATATATATTCTTGGGCAGAATTTTTTCTAATTATGCCAACTCGAAATCTAATCAAATAGCATTTTTCTGCTGGAGTTTTGATGTTACATCAGAATAAAATGTTTTCATAAAGTTCAAGAAAACAACGTCATTAAAATTTGACAATTTCTTTAAAAAAACGAGTTCATACTTGCCAATGTTACGTTTTGTATCATTCGATCTTTGTACAGTTTTTTTTCCAGTTAAATAGTGATTGAATCAAAATGGAAACTATATATATATGTAACCAGCTTGTTAATTTGTTTCAAACCATATATAAATGAAAGAGAAAAGATGCTTCACTGAAATTTCACATCATGCTCACCTTAGCTTTGGAATAAAATTTAAAACGATGATTAGGCCTTGATCGATGAGAAAGACAAATTAAGAAAAGTATCTCTTTTACTTACATATTTTAAAGCATTTTATCGTCGAAGAAAAATAATACGACATATTATTATCTAGAATTCTATCGTGGGTACTTCTGATTACTTGGTAAACAGACAGGAAAATGTGACGTGACTAAATCTTTAACAATGTCAGATTTCCGTACATTTGTTTCCTCATATCTTCTTAAAATTGCTTTTATCTAATATCTATAGCATGCTTTATAAACATTCTTGATGTATGTCATCTCTTTTAATGTAAATATGAGAAAATGAGTTTGTATAACAATACGGCCCAGTATCACTATATTATTGTTCAATCATGTGAAAAACATTTGAATCTCCTTTTACTAGAGTCACTATACATTATAAGAAATCCTAATATATATCTGGTAACTTAACAATAACGAAAAGCAAAAGTAAGCTGAGATACTTTATTAATTAATATATGTCAATTGATAGGAGCATCGAGATTAAACATATTTTAAATTTACGAAAGGTACAATGTTGATCTCCATATATAGTAATAAGATTTCTCTGATATAAAGAAAAATGATACATTACAAGGTCCTATTCATCTTCTGAATGTAGTAATGTGTTATTTCATACTTTCTGATCAAATTTAGATGT